TTTATTTGTATTATTTTGTTTGTAATAATTACGAATATTATATTATATAATATAATAAATCTAAAAAATATTATTGTTGGAATTTTACCCTAATTTATTATAAATAATCTATTCAGTTCTTTTTTTTTTTGTTAATTTTGACCCTATGGTCAAGGTGGCATCTTGTCTATTAATACTGTAATTGTATATGAGTTCTAAGGAACTACTAGTTTACAATTATATTTCAAAATAAAAACACAGACGACAATAAGCTAGAATGCAGTATACGTATAGAGATTTAACTTTTTATTATAAGAATATATGTATTAAGATAAAAAGTTTAAGGGAAAATATCCATTCTACACAAAAAATGTACTATATATATATATATTTGCTGACATTAAGTGAAATGTAATACCAATCATAAAATCACCAATAATATCTTTATTGCTTATATGTAGGAAAAATATAAAACAGAAGATCCTTTGACCTTGTTAATGATGTGTGTGAAGAATCAACGTTTAGTTCAGCAGAAACGGTATTGACATCTTCTCACAACTGCTATCTGAAGGAGGAGAAAGAGCTGGTTGTTGCTGGTTATCCCCAAATTGATGATGGTCCAATTGTTGATAACTTCCAAATGGAGCAAAGTCCGGTTGTTGATTTTGTGACCTAATAATAAAAGTTGGCATCAAAAAAATATATACTTTTTTAAGTTGAAACGGAATTATTCGAGAAATTATAAGCACAATTTCCAAAAGCGACGAAATATTTTGGATTGTCCCTTATATGCACAAATTAATTATAAGTACCGAAGTTGATTCACTAAAAAAATTATTTTAGTATTATCGTTATTACAGTAGTATAAATTAAGGAACACTGGTCACGTGATGAGCCAAGGAAGAAAAAAAACATACTCCGTTTGCGTTGAAGATTGTTCCAGTGATTACGCACCATAATAGGACTGAAGCCAGGGAAAAATGAAGCGATAAGTTTCCACTGACGACCATGTTGCCTAAACAATTCCTGAATTCTTTTGGATTCGGATGATGTAATTCTGCGTCTGTTTACTAAAAGATTTATTGGTTAAGTATCCGTTAAAAAGAGAAAAACATGAAATTTGAAATTAATATATACTTGCGGGATTCTGGTGATTAAGATAACTAAAAAAAAAAAAAATACCGAATAAAAATGTAGATTTTTTAAAGTGTATAAATAAATGATTTATTTGCCAAACGCATTTATAATTTACACATCACTTACTGTTCCCGAATCTGACGCTGATCGCGCGTTTGCTGCATAAGTATTGCGATTAGCCTCCAGTTGTAACCATAGGTCTGAACCAATGTTTCAAGAAGCTGCTTTTCCTATAAATTGATATTGAGCAATTAATCTTATATTGTTATTGTGTGAAGCAATTAATCTTATATTATTATTGTGTGAAGAATTGAGTAACTTTAATTACTTGCTCAGTCCAACGACCGCTTCTTCGTTGCGGGAACATAGAATTTTTATAATTCAAGGTTTACAATTACAAGGATGAAAGAAAATCTAATAAAACTAAGCTTTAATTTAGGTCAAGCAAATATACGATAACATTAAGACAACGTTTATTATCATCTTTGAGAAAATATTCACAAAAAAATTAAGAAAAAAAAAGTAAAGGAATAAAATTTTAAAAGTTTCCGGAGTTAAATATTTCAAAATTCTATCATGTGAAAATATGCCCCAAAATTGTTGTTTTATAAAGCGAGTACCAATTTTTGGGTATCATTAATGGAAACTTATGAATGAAATTAGACTTTTTTTGAAATTATTGAACTTTTTTTTTTGCATATTTGTAACGAATAACCGGCATGCAGCCGCCAACCTTGATCCAAGAAAGATTAATCCAACGTTCATCCATTCCCATGTAACATGTGAAAAGCAATAACGATAATTAAAATCGATCGTACCAATCTGTCTTTGTACCACGGTCAAACATTTTCTCTTTATTAAGATAAAAAAAAAATAATAATAATAATTTTCAAAAAAATTGATGGATTTTTAATTTTTATTTTGAAGATAAAATATTAAATCCTTACCTCGATTACTTCGATCTCACCTTATAAAAGACAGTATTATCAGCTTACAACACTTAGAATTTACTGTAATTCGACACTCCACACATTTTCACATTTCTATTCGTGACACATCTTTTTATTCATCTGAATTTTCCATAGTATATTCTTATTGACAAAAGAACAATAAATCCTCACTTAATGTATAAACAAATCAAAAATGAAGCAGCAAGAAAAGATTAGAAATTCGAACCAGAATTAACGCGTCATACCAGTTTAAATTGAAAACTTCAAACTAGATCAAATACAATTATAAGTACGTACGTATGTAAATTCTTTTCCATTAATTGAGTCCTATGTTTTTTGTTAATGAGATTGTAAGTATAAGAGATTAAACATATAAACATAATTGTTAATCCCGGATGCTTAATTGAGAAAACGCCATATTGTCTAATTAGTATGTATATAGGTTTAAGGAGAGAGAGAAAGAATGAAAGAAAAAA